CCTAGAATTATTGCTCTCACTCCAACGTTCGCGGCGATATGTAACATGTGCGGCGTAATGAGCACAATCATCTTTTTTGCACGTATGCGCGCCTGACGCATGTTTGTATGCGTGTATGTATGGGTGGCGACTTTAACCATTTTTTTTGTTTTTTTTATTCTTGTTTATGTGTAACTTTAACCAGTTGACATCCGCAGTGTTAAACCACCTTCCCATCCAGGCCATTTTTCAGTATTCAGCGCTGCAGTACTTTGACTGACATTTATTCCGTCATGCAACGCTGTACTGAAATTAATGTTATACCATTTTTAAGGGACAAATAGAACTTTCTTTTGGTGGTATTTATTTTTTTTTTAAGTTCTGATCTCCCTTCCTCTTCCTCCTGACGCCCTCCCGACCCGATCCCGGGCCGCAGATGGGGCAGCGGATCCCGAGATTGAAAAAACAAGCACATATAGACGATCGGCTGGCTATGGAGCCACCGATCGTCTTAATGTGAAACACCCGGTAACGGGTGTTTGCATTGGTCGGGTCTTTTATGCCCGTGTGCACCCACGAGCAGAATAAAAACTGCTGCAGTGCCGTCCGTCCGTTTTTTTACAACGGGCGGACGGCAAGTGGTTAAAAAAAAATGGGGGGGGGACTTTAATTTGTTTTCCTATTTTTTTTCACTAAACTTTATTGCTATCACATACGGGGGCTAATAAAACCCCCCTATGTGAATGCAAAATGTGACAGGTCCTCTTTATGGAGACATCAGGGGTCCCCAAGACCCCTAATGTCACCTAGACCCCCAAAAGAAGCTAATGAAGCACAGATCTGCTCCATCAGCTTCTTTCCAGCTTCTAAAGCTGGATTGGAGACATTAGGGGTCTCTAGGACCCCTAATGTCACCTGTGGACCCCAAAAGAAGCTGATGAAGCAGAGATCTGCTTCATCAGCTTCTTTTCTCTGGCTATAGCAGCCAGATGACTGACAGGTGAATGCGGAAGTGATGTAACACACATCACTTCTGCATTCACAGCCCGGAGGGAGGTCAGCAAGGAGCTGATCTCCCTTCCTCTTCCTCCTGACGCCCTCCCGACCCGATCCCGGGCCGCAGATGGGGCAGCGGATCCCGAGATTGAAAAAACAAGCACATATAGACGATCGGCTGGCTATGGAGCCACCGATCGTCTTAATGTGAAACACCCGGTAACGGGTGTTTGCATTGGTCGGGTCTTTTATGCCCGTGTGCACCCACGAGCAGAATAAAAACTGCTGCAGTGCCGTCCGTCCGTTTTTTTACAACGGGCGGACGGCAAGTGGTTAAAAAAAAATGGGGGGGGGACTTTAATTTGTTTTCCTATTTTTTTTCACTAAACTTTATTGCTATCACATACGGGGGCTAATAAAACCCCCCTATGTGAATGCAAAATGTGACAGGTCCTCTTTATGGAGACATCAGGGGTCCCCAAGACCCCTAATGTCACCTAGACCCCCAAAAGAAGCTAATGAAGCACAGATCTGCTCCATCAGCTTCTTTCCAGCTTCTAAAGCTGGAGAGTGACACAAGAATGCGGAAGTGATGTAATATACAACACTTCCACATTCTTGCAGAGGAGAGGGGACCGGAGGGAGCTCGTGTAACGATCTCCCTCTGATCCCCTGTGACACGGGTGCCATGCTGATCCCGGGCTGGCACCGGGCTCAGCGGAGCCCGGGATCAGCGGGGTCACAGATCGTTACCCCATACAAGCGACCGGCGGATCGCTTGTATGTTAACGGGCATCACTGCCTGTTTTTAAATCTCGGGGGTTTCCCGCTCACACGCTTCGCTCCCGGCCTGCCATTGTTTTACTACGGCCGGCCCGGAGGTAGTTAATATGGATCATTCTCTATGTTTAATAAACTATTATGTTTGCATTTATCTAATGTAATTATGGTGGTATTCCAGAAAATCTCTTTTTATTTTATCCTAATTTCTGGTAACTGTTAGCTGGCACCATTTCCACTCTCTGAGATACCATCATCTTTTTGTTGAATGTTTTTCTTAATTAGCCTATCTCTGTTTGTCTCTTGTTCTGAGCTCTTTGTTGTCCATCAAGTTTAATAAACGCAAGTGTACTCAATAGTATAGAACTGCACAGTGTGTTTCTGAGTTCAAATATGTTGGACAACCATACATTTTTTTCTTTTGCTGTGCTGGTTAATATACTTCATTATACCTTATTTAACACATGGAAAAATCTCATAATAAAAAAAATAACAACCTTTTTTTTAATTTTAGAATGTCCTTATTAATCTCTTGTGCATTACCCATATAGCATTTCCCAGGATTCCCTCTGCTATTAATATGATATTAAATTTGAATGGAAGGGAGCAATGAAATTTTAGTAGTGCAGATTATAAAATAATGATCTAATTTCCTGAATTAAAATGTGGCATTAACTCTTTGATTTATATAGCGCTTATGGAAAATTTCCTGATCAGGTGCAGATCTCTTTTGCTGTTTGACTGACAGGCGGGTTGCCAGGGAAACAAGTTTAATCTGGCACCCAGCGTTTAAACGAACTCACAAACATTTGGCCTACGGCCACTCATTTTAAGACGGCATCTCCTGTTTTGTCCCTGTGTCAAAAGTCACTTTGCAGGAATAAATAATGCCCTGCAGCCATTCTCAGAAAGCCTTGTATATGTAGGGAGATAGATTGGTTTTCGTCAGCAAATAAAGATAAATTGGTGCACCCTTTCACACCTCTTTACCCTCACTTGGCTCTTGGACTGATTTCACCCTCTAAAGAGCCTGCTGAAGTGAACATGTATACATCATTTCAAAGGAAATAATTTTCTGCTGGGGGATAATTTCTTGTGAATAGTTAATACTGCTAATAAAATAATATTCCAGGACTATACTAGACCCCTTTTATCACGAGTATTGCATACCTCCAGTCACTACAGACTAGCATGTCACTTATTTTTGTAGCACAGTCAGCAAAGTGTAGATTGCTGTGAATTGTTTTATGGTATAGCGGAACGAAATGCAATGCGTGACTCCATTTCTGCAAAGTCTTTCTTACACTGTGATCCCAGTTTAAAATTAGTGTATAAGTAGAGTACAGACCAAAAAGCTCTTTTGGAAGAGCAGTGAGCTGTAGTCAAAAGCTCATTGTTTTAAGATTTTTCTGCAATACGTTGCTTATTGTTTCCCGGTTTTGGGTTCCACTTATAAGCTACCATCCTTTAAACACCTGCAAGTACTGTCCCGAAAAAGGAAATTATATTTACATAATTTGTATTGTACTTGTAAATCTGAAGCATACATCTTAGTGAGTGCCTGGAAAAAAACGTCCTTCAGCCAGTCAGAGTTAACACCTTTGCCTAATTTAAAAAAGGTGGTAGTACAAAACATGATAGCTTCTGTTCTTTAAAAGCAACATTTTAAGCCAATTCCTAGTCTTTATTAAGCTAGGGGCAAGTGCAAAACATATTGCAAACACCAACAATTTAAATCCCTCTTCACAAATCACGGGGCACTATCTGTGTTACCCAATTGGAAGAGAAGGAGGACAAATAAACAAACCTAATGAGGAACTCACATACCTGAATCATGAAACTGTCACTCAGACAACCTGTTTTAAAAAGTCCCACACAGCTGTCTTATCATTGAGCAGGCATATCTGATGGGGGTTCTATATTTTAGACACCCCCCAGGCTCCACCTCTTTTATCCTGCAAAACACAACCATCAGCAGGCCAATAAACTCAATGTCACTCAATTCAAATGCAAACCTGATGGGGAACACAATGCTCATATTCCCAATGTCAATGCGGCACCATTAGCAAACGCTAACAAACTGCGGAACAACAGACTCACTGTCAATCAATTTTAGAGGGGCTCTGATGGGAAATGCACACATTCCACCTGACTCTGACCATTCTGTTTAGAGTTGAAACAGCAGATGGCCTCTAAAGGGGAAGAGTATGTGCCCATCCCCTCTGACACCACCAATTCTGTATCACATCAAAGCAGCAGGTGGCTAGAAAAAAAACAACTACTGCAACATTCCCTCAGGCACCTAACAGGGAATTGTGCATTGTGCACATTAATGGCATGGAACAGTATCCTTCCTTCTCTCACATGAAATCTTCTGTCTACTCACTTTAACTAAACCAATATCTGCTTTAACCAATTTGTCTTTTATAGATATAGCTCGTTTGCATCCATGTGATATTTGGGTGGTGTCTGAGATCATATTCACAGACTGTTCCTCATGAGGTTTGCTCCTGAGCCCATCTGCTGCCTCAATGCTATAGGGAATGGGGACTGTGAGGAAATGGGTGTGTTCCCCATTAAGTACACTCTGGAGTTGATTGAAAGTGGGTCTTCTGCCCTGCTGTCTGTAAGCATTTGCTGGTGGTGCTGCTTTGAAAATAGGGAGAGTAGGCTGAACCTGAGAAGATATGGCATTGCGTTCCCTATTGAAAGCATGTTTGAACTGAGTGACAGCAAGTTCATTGGCTTGTTTGCTGATAGTTACCGTATGTGTATTGCAAGTTAAAAGAGGTGGCACTTGTGGAGTGTTTGAAATATAGCAGTTTCCCATCACGTCCACCTGCACAATGATAGGCAGCTGTGTGGACTTTTTAAAAATAGGTGGTCTGAGTGGTTATTTTTTGCATCATGTATCAAGTGTGTAAGTTCCCCAACAGGTTTGTTTTAATTATTTTCCTCTTACTAGTTGTCACAGACACTCCTCTGTGTGGTGATTGGTGAAGGGTTGCTCCTGAGGTGGTGAAGAACAAGGCATGGCTTAAAACACCGTTTTCAAATGACGGGGGCTACCATGTTTTGTACTACCACCTTTATGGAACCACTAAAAAGCTGATCTTTTTAGACCTGGGTACAGATGTGGAATGCTTTTACATGCATAGTTTGTATTCACTTGTAATACTGCATGCATTTAAAGGAAATGTATCTTAACAGTTGTATCTTTTGTTTTACTATGATTTGTTCAACAGGTGACCTGAACAAAACCCATCAGCACTGTGTAATTGCTGGATCACAGCCTCGTTTCAGCTCCACGCACAGAGTAGCCGAGGTATGGTCTTCCCATAGCCTAACTGTGACATGCAACAATTAGTGTTTTTTTGTGTGTGTTTTGTTTTACATTTTGCAAATTTGTAAAACTGTGCTCCACTAAATATTAAAAGATGCCAGAAAATGTTAACTTATTACACAAGAATAAGGCCTTTGATATGCAACCATGGGTCATTTGTTTACATTTTTACATTTCTTGGCAAACTGCAGTATATTGCTTAAAATGTAATGTATTGCACAGGCTGCCATTATATTTGTGTGGATAAATTGCAACACAATGTGGGGCAGTGAATTAACTCTGTTTTTGCCCGCTTCAGAGTAACAGCCAATAATGTCTAAACCAATACCAACATAGTATGTAGTGTACACCTCATTGGTCCTGAAGAAAATAGAATAATTGTTGGGAATGTGTGGGGAGTGTGTGGTACTGTGGCAGAGATGAACATCCAGGCAAAAGGAAATGAACATATTTACTTGGACAACATGTCAACAAAGTTGGAAAACATGGGAACCTTATTAAATGGGCACATTTTAGTGGCATAACAATATTTTGATGGCATATTACAGCAGGCATTCCAGCTTTAGGGTTGTGTTAAGAGGGATGTTAGGGTATTGCTAAATGCTACAATTCACTTGAGCATCAACAATTGTGTGTTTGACTTGTAAGGTGTAAATAATGATGTTGTGTTTAATATATTTCTTACTGATGGTTGCTTTCTTTTGCGTTTGAGTTAGGTTTGATTTTTTTTTTACGTTTGTTTTTTATATAGTGTTCTGAAGGTACACTAAATTATATAAAAGCAAGATGTCAAACTGCTCTTAATAATCTTTTGGTGATTCCCAGTACTGGAGAGAAAGAGTTGAAGTCATTAGAAGTGGACATTTTACAACAAGCAGAGAAGATTCACAATGAGGTAAGATGAAGTTGGTCTCTAATGTGTACCAAGGAATATAATGTTTATTATTTTTAATAAAGGATTGAGTAAACATATCAATAAATGCTGAGAGATGTGCAACAGCCTTAGATGCATTTTATAGTCCTATAATTGTGCTTTGCCTGTGCAGGGTTTAGGAACAGGTTCACTTAACTGTCACCCTTCTCAGCAGCATGCTCTTACTTTTGTTCCCTGCCCCATGTAAGCTCCAAGTTGTGGTGCACCCCACCCTATTGCTTGAGGGCCAGACTGCAGCTTCTCTAGCGCTGTTTCCAATCTAGGTTCATTTAGAGGCCTTGAGGCTGCTAAGATCTTTCTGGTGTGTCTGCTGTTTCTCACAATCTTTTTTGGGGGGCTTTATTAAAAAGTGGACCAATCCCTTTCTGGAACTGGGAGTTTCCCACCTAAACAAACATGAAGGATGTGTCTGTGTTTAAGCACCCCTTTGTTACATGACTGGAAATCCTTTCAAAACCTTTGTTTTGTCTTGCAGGTCCTGCCTTACAATGTACCATGGCTATCATGCTTGTCTATCAAACTCTAGCGGGCTGGGTGAAGTCTATGAGAATGGGTCCTGCCTCCTTCCAAGCAGACACCTTGCTTGCTGAGCATTTGGAGCTTATGCTTACATCCTTAAGCTACTGAGCAGATGATATGCTAGATGTTTTTGATGATTCTAGTATGAGTCTTCTGTTGGTTAACATGAGGAAGACTCTTTGTTGAAAGTGTCAAGCTGTGGCACAAGCATATAGAAAGCATATGCATGCCCTTTGAGGGGCAATGTCTCTTCAAAGTTGTCCTGGACACCCTTATCAAGGATGTGACTGGGGTTAGAGCACACACCTTCCCCAGCAGAAGAAGCCCAGACCTCAGTATGGAAAACCTCCCCCTCCTTGGAGGCAAAGAAGTGTTCCTTTCGGTACTTCTGGGCCTCAACCTCAGAAGCCAAACCCAGGCCCCGCCCCCCAATATGGCTGAAAACCTTAAACGTGCTATAGCATGAATTAGGGAGGCACTGTTAGCCTTTATGGAGATCTGGGCAGCCAACATCTCAGATGTTTGGCTGTGGGAGTTAATTTCCCAGATCTACATTCAAGAATTTTGCTATGAGCCCCTCCACAGTTCATATCTTTCAGCCTGCCTGTGTCCTGGTGGAAATTCTGGAGCTGGGGGTCATTGCCCCATTGCCTGTGTCAGAAAGGATCCAAGAGTTCAACTCCAACCTTTTCACTGTTCCCAAAACAAAAGGGGACAGTCACATCTTGGATCTAAAGGCCCTAAACCAGGTCTTTCCTAGCTTAATGGCATCAGGGAGACTATGTCCTCTGTGGGCATCAAGGATGTTCTCATTTTTCAAGCACATTAGCTATTTCTTCACTTTGCTGTAGGCACCCAAGACTTCCAGTTTGTGGCCCTGCTATTTGGCCTATCCTCTTCACCTTGAGTGTTCAAGATTCTTACCCCCATGCTAGCCTTGCCACACTTTCAGGGGAGTATCCCTGAGAATACCCACAATGCCCTCCCCCTCTGACTCCATGAAATGTAAATATGATTCTTCTGATGCTGCAGAAACCACCCGTTTAACTTATTTAGGGATATTTCCCTTTTTCTATACTCACTTACAAGGTCATATTGCTTATTGCCATCACCTCTGCAGGGTGTTTGTCTGTACTGGCAGTTTTGTCCTGTAAAGAACCCTTTTTGGTTTCACAGGGACAAGGTGTTGAAGAGCCCAATAACTTCCTTTCTACCCATTGTAGTTTCAGCTTTTCACCTGAATCAGAACAACATTCATCCTTCCCTCTTTAATCAGCAGAAGATCTCTCTCCATGCCCTGGATGTAGCTTGTGCTGTCTGTGTCTGTCTGTACAATAAGTATAACCATTGTTTCCATTAGGAAGACTGACTTTCTTTGTCTTTTTTTCTGATGGATTTAGTAAAGTGGGAACCAGCTTTTTGTTCTCATTTCCATCCATATCTGTGGCTCAGACAGTGGCAGCGGATCCGGGGGGGAACAATGGGGCAATTACCCCCCCAGATTAGTGCCACTCCCATCCCGAGTCTCGCTCCTTGCCTCTGCCACCCGCAGGTCCCGTAGTAGTAGGGACACTACATACAGCTGCCCCTCAGTGTCACATACTTTACTGCGGTTCATTGTAAAAAAAACTTTGTACAATTTAACTGCAGTAAATTCTGTGATACTGAGGGACAGCTGTATGTGCCGGTGGCCGTTCCTGTCATTTACAATAACACCGCCAGACAGCCACATTCTCCTGTCTGGGACGCAAGAGAAGAGGTGCTGCAGCTTGCATGTGTTAGGTGAGGGTGGGGAGTCTATGGGTGATGGCTGGCTTAGGGGGCACTGTAGCATTGCTGTATAATGAGTATACAGCAATGCTGAATACCACCAGCTATACAGGACTATACATCCCAACAATACATTATACAAGGCTAATAGTATTCTGCATTGTTGTATAAAGTATTGCTAGAATTTGTAGTCCTTTATAGCTGGTGGTATTCTACATTGCTGTTTAACAGGGGTCACATAACAAGATTTCAAAGAGGTGATATGAAGCTCTCTGGGGACCAGGACAGTGGCTAGCAGCAGGGGCGCCCCGAGGCCGGGTGTCACTCGGTCTGCAGACCGGGTGACACCCCACTGTGTCGTCATAGTGTAACGTCACCTTGCACGTGCACAATGAGATCATCACATTATGCCCAGCCATCTGATTGACGCCTGCCATCTTGGTAATGCACGCCGACAGAGAGAGGAGGGGATGTTCACCCAGCGGGGTGGGGTCTGCCGCCGGGTCCCCTCCTCTCTCCTGATACTCTCCTGTCCATGACAGAGTGCCCGACTTTTTAGACGGGGTTACACCAAAATGCCTGTCAATCATTTTGCTGTCACCCGGGTGCGGGCCGCACCCCCCTTGTGACACCACTGGCTAGCAGTAAGTCAAGATTTGTGTTAATTCCCCATTATATCCTGTCTCTCTATCATGTAAAAATCTGAAATCTGGAATGATAAATGTGTCACTGTTTTAAACAAGGTTAGGACTGTATGATACGTTAAATAAAATATTATCCATTTTGTAAGCAAAACTTTATTTTCTGGCAGTGCCCCTGCTGGAAATGGACTCTAGATCCGCCCCTGAGCTTAGAGAGACCATTATCCAAGCACCTCTTGGGCATTTCAGCATCATGCTATTGTTTGCAAAGCTGCCATCTGATAATCTGTTTACATGTTTTCCAAGTTTTACCAGGTGGATGTTCTGGCCTCTTCTTTGAGCTGCAGGCAGCTTCAGTTATTTTATTTTATTATTGGACGTGCGTTTTGGTTGCAGTTGCCCACTCTTAAGTTGGACTGCGTTTGGGCATCCCAACAGTCTCTAAAACGCTGTGTCCTTCAATGAACACTATATCAAATAGGATTTCTATATTATGATCATGCATTTGGTACTTATTTTAAACAAACCATGCTTTCTAAAATGTTTTTTTTTTTGCCTTCCTCTGAATCAAATGTGGGTAACTGTGGACAAATGGTTCTGTTTATGTAGGTTTTCAATTATTATTATTATTTATTTATTTATTTTTCCTACTGGTTGAGCTTGATAGACTTTTTTTTTTTTTTTGACTAACTAACTATGTAACAAAACTAAAGAATGCTGGGAGTAGGTAGGTTTACACCAGCTTGGCACTGTTTTTTGTTTGCCAGTGTCCAAATCCTCCTGAAGGCAGCAGTATAACTTAACAGTCTTTTGCATTTCTGTGTCCCTCAATGAACTACAATAAATGTTTTTTTTTTGTTTTTTTCTTGATGTTAAGTGCAAAAATCCAATTTTTACACACTGACTTTCCCTATCATGGATAGGATCAAGTGGCAAGCAATTGTCCTTTTCATTGTTTTTAGATATGTATCTATGTACAAATATATGCATAAATAACATTACCAATGTGCGAGTTTTGCAACCAAAGCCTAAATTAACAAGGGACATGTAGGACCTAGGGTATGTGGAAAGATTAACTGAACTGATTTAATTCTCCCTTGAGAAAAGTCAATTAAGAGGGATATCATCACCTTCTGTACATATATAAATGGTCAGTATAGTAAACTGTGTACAAAGGTGATCACTATAAGGGCACTGCAAAGTGCAAGGTGGAAATGTTTCTTTAAAGTAAAACTGTGACAATGTGGAACAGACCTACTTTAAGACAGCTCTGTAGATTGTTTTCCTAAAGGTGGGGTTTGTTTTTAAATTCACAATATATACTTGGCTAATAATATTTATTGAAAGGACACCATAGATTATTGATCCAGGGAGTATCCAATTGTCTTAAGACATTTGTAAGGTTTTTCCCCTGTTGGACAAATTAGACCATGATTTATAAAATTTGTTTTGCATTTCTCTAGATAAACCGTAGTTTTAAGGTTCTTTTTACCTGATTATGTAATATGTTTAACTATAAGTGTGAGATTATCAAAAATTAGTTTCAGGTAACCTTTTAATAAATATTCCCTTCTTGAAACACACCTATTTTTACTTAATTTGTACAAAATCTTAGGAAGGTATGACTTGCACAATGGTTCTTCACTGCTCTAAAACTGTATATGTCCAATTAGGTTGAGTTTGAGTGGCTGCGTCAATTCTGGTTTCAAGGAAAGCGATATACTAAATGCAGCAATTTCTGGATAAAAGCGATGACTGATCTGGAAGATGATTGGAGGCAGATGGAAACCATGGTGAGATATGGAATTATGCATATTTTGCACTTTTACATGATGGACTGAAGCCTGTATAGTTTGGATTGAGTTTTTAATAAATTATGTTACTTCTTGTGTATAGAAAATTAGGGGCTCCAAAGGACTGAACTGTCAGATTGCATACACTTACACGTGGCTTTATACAAATGCTACACTTGTACCAATGCATTCAACAGACTTTTAGATGTATTGTCATGTATGATTAAAGTATTTATAAATCCAAACGTTAAAATTATGGTATGCGATGCAACTTGTGTCTGCATATTCTATTACATAATTATTATCATTGTCTGAGCTGCTAATTTGATAAATCTTACCTGGCAATTTTGCAAGTCTGGCTATTTTTTTAAATATAATTTGTTACTCACAATCTGGCTATTTTTATTGTGCTTCCTGTATTTGGATGACAATGTAGCATAGGTGTTTGATGCTGCAGTGCACACTCTCTGAAATAGGTTACAGGTTGCTGTGCATGTAGTCTTCCCAATCTCAGCAGACTTCATGATGCCAGTCAGTGGTGTATTATGGTTTTGTGCTGCCGTAGGCAAGACTAAACTCGTGCGCCCCCCTCAATCTAAATTTATTTACCCCCCCCCCCCCCCCTTCCTGTTTAAGACATTTTGCATAACCCGTCAGTCACTGGATACAGCATGCTTCTGATGCTATGCCCTGCTCTATCATGGAGGTAACAATGCTGTATTTTGGTTTTTCTTGCTGCCCCCTTGGAAAGTGGAAATGCCTTGTTTGCCTTGCAGTAGATATGCCCCTGTTGCCAGTCATTGTTGTACAGTATATGCACTTGGTCCCAATATGTCAAGTTAGAGTGAAAACAGCTATGGGATTGTGCATAGTTCTGAAGGAAGAGGGTGGCAGGGGACATCAATCAGCTGCCACTCTCCATCCACATCAGTGAGAATGGTAGCTATGTATGCTGGACATGTAGTCCCTGGCTCGGCAGAGATAACACTAATGTTGCAGCTGCAGCTTCAGACCCACAGCAGGCCATCAAAATTGTATGTGTAGAAAGCTTTGTACACCTGTTTATATGTGGAATGTCTAGTTTAATGAATTGTAATGTGTGTAGTTGTTTGGGGGTAGTGATCCTTTAAATGTTCTTTAAAGTCAAACTCCAGGCATAGAAAATCTGCTAAACCCCTTCTACTGTGTGTAAAAATAGCAATGGGGAACTAATTTCTTTGGTGCATGACCAGTCACTGCTGCCTGCTCTCTGGGAGCAGCGACCGGTCATGGGACAGCCCTGCTGTAGTTTATGCTTGTAGCTATCGTGCGGCTAACTAATGCTGGTCTTATATAGATTGGCTGTTCTAATTAGCTATCTTTAGACACAAGTGCAGCTAAGGGGGTGGTGATGCCATCCACATAACTGTCCAATCACGGCACTACACTCCCAATGTAATATGAGTGATGTAGTCCAATGTGGCGACGGACCCGCGTTAAAAGAGACCTGCAGAGCCACATAGGACCCTGTCCCTTGTATCTGTGCTGAGGAAAATGTCTAGCTATGATTTGTGATGTCATTGCTGCTTATAAGGGGTTTTTTAAATGTTTTTTTTTATATGGTATTATTTATTTTTATGAGAAAAAAGGGTACAATCTTAGAAGAGTATGGAGAGAGGGAGGAATGGGAGATTTAGTATGGAGATCCCAGCATTCAGCTTTAAATTAAACTTGTGCCCCGACTATGTATACTAAAGTATTAAGCCTCCATTCACCTCTCTATCTATAAACATTGAGGATACATTCATTTTCAAAGATCATTGAAATCTTAGTTATTTTTCTATTATGGTGGACTGCAAGTCTTCTAATGCAAAAAACAACTAGCAGGTGTGCTCAAGCTGTTAGAAACATTATAAAGATGTTTTATTGTAATCTTGGAAGGTCTTTGGGAAAGATTAACTTTGCATTAAAAGCAGCAGAGGTCAGAGATTATTTTTTAAAGCTCCTTTACTGCTTATTGGGAATATGTAAACATTTAAAGAAGGAAAAACGTGTATTAACCCTTTGCAGTGGGGCTACCCCCACACTGCAAGGGTTAACTGCTCATTTTTGTCTAGCTTCAAAAAAAGAAAAGAAAAAAGTTATACTCACATGAACTATGGAGTCGGCTTGCTCTTAGACTAGTACTTCCAGCCTCCCTCCCCCTCCTTTGCAGCCCTCTAAGGTCTTGTAAATCATCACATTCTATACACGGTGTATAGATGTGAGGACTCTGGCAAATGCTGCAGCATAGGAAGAGAGAGGCTGGGGTGAGCGCTGTCACAGCTGGCCGCTTCAAAGCTTTGGGTGAGTATAACTGTTATTTTTTAACCTAGACAAAAATGAGCAATTAACCTTTGCAGTGTGGGGAATAATAATAATAATAATAATAAAAATCCTGCAGTTCTTACCCCCAAATTTAGTGGAAAATGTACTTAAATGCCCCAAAACACAATAAAATACCAATTTTTTTAAATAAAATATGAGGTTACAACGAGTAAATAGATACCCAACATGCCCAGGTTAAAAGTTGTGTGCATCCGTGAAACGGCAACAAAATTCAGTACCGCAAAAAGTCCACGACCCCCACAGGTCATCAGTTTAGAGATACCCAAAAATACTGGCCCTAGAATTATTGCTTTTATTCTGGTGTGTGCGATGATATTCAACATGCGTAGCACATTCAACGTTTTCATACGTAGGCGCACCCGACACATGTTTACGTGAAGATGCAGGGGCCTTTTTTGATTTTTTTATGTTAATTTTAAAAACGGTTATTTATTTTTTTACTTTAATTGCTATCACATAGGGGGGCTTACAAGCCCCACATGTGATAGCAGATGGTGGTGACATGTACTCCAAATGACCCTTAGTATCACCTTTGTATTTTAAATAAGCTTCAGGAGCCCAGCACTGGCAGCTGTGGGACCGGAAGTGATGCAATCTGCATCACTCCCGGTCCCATAGAACGGGGAGGGGATCGACAAACGGAGTCCATCTCCTCCACATCTTCCCGCCGACACCAAAGAAGCCGGTCCCGGAGCCCAGGAAACATGGCGGGGGTGTCGGATGGGGGGGGGGCACCCCTTCACCAGGCCATAGAAGCGATCTGGCGGCAGCTGAGTCGCCAGAATCACTTCACTTCTACTGTAAAGATGACAGTCGGCTTTACAAGTTTAAACAGAGTCCTGACGGCAAAAGCTGTCGGTAGTCTGTTTCATACAGCTCTGCTGCCAGTGACGTCCCTGTACGTCGTTGGTCGTGAAGGGGTTAATGCCTGTAGTCTGGACAAAGGTGAACTGTAACTTTCAGATATTTCTGAACACAAGTATTTTTATGTTATGTTGTAAAAGTAACATTTGCAATATAGTAACAAAATACACCAGCAAGGTACATGCACAGTTCTTTGACTGAGGTTTTCCCTGTTTACTGTTACATTAATATGGGGTGGACACTGGGGGCTTGTGTATACATTTTATTTGTGTTAGAACTGACCCTTTGGGCCTACATGTGTGTGTGTACAATAAAGAATGCCTCAAGAAAATAGACATATAGATCAATATTTTTCTTTCCGATCTTATAAGTGATACAGCCAACACGTTTTGGGAGATTGGGCTCCTTGTTTCTCAGGGTTCGTTTGTACTGCCATTTTTTTCTATACAGATTAGCAAATACTGGTACACACTCTGTTTTACATTGGATTGAATGGTGTTGCTTTTTTCATCTAGGTGCAGCATTGACCTATCAAAACATGTCATATCTCATTTATTTTTCTTTTGTTGGTGTAAATGAGAACACATTGTAAAACATGGCCAGCATGCTTGTACAATGTGTGAATATTTTAGGGCTGCAACTAACAATTATTTTCATAATCAATTTGTGGGCTAATATTTTTTTTCGATTAATTGGATAAAAAAAAAAACATGCTTGATTTAAAATAAAATATGTAAGGTGGAGCATACACATAGAACAGGCCCCCCTACAGAGAACCAGAGGTCAAGACCTGCCATAGTCCGCTATTTGGATTTTTCTGACAGACCACTAATCCTTCAAGCTTACCACACCCAGCACGCCTTAATTGCCTGTGGGTTCAAACTGCTGTTATTCACAGATTACTCAGCGGTTCTCACTAAACAGAGGAAATTATTTTCAGAGACCTGTCATATTCTTGTTGACAAGCAAATCAGATTTACACTGGCCTATCCAGCGATCTTGCGGGTCACATCCCCTGAAGACCGCATTGAATCCTTCACTTCTCCTGAGGAAGCGAGGAAATATGCATAATTGCCTTCTTCCACCATCACCTGTGCCTCACCTTCCAAAAGCCCTCCTAGGAAGAAGAAAGCCTGAATTACATGAGAAGCCAGTCAGCATTTGACACATCTATCAAGGGCCTCTTCTCGGTGGTGGAGCAGAGTATGTTTGTGTTCACTTTCAATCACACGCTCTCACTTACATGACAGTTGTGCATTTGAGTTATTGTCTATATATCTATTTCCTTTGGTATTATAGGTTAGTTTTTTTTCGCACTATGTCTGCTTGTTTTTTGTTCTATCAGACCATATATCTGACTCGTCAACTCATGGTCCCCTTTCCACACACTTCTATCTTGGGAAAAAAGGACGTCACCTACCTCCTAAGAGATTGTTTTTTGTTTTGTTTCTACTTTAGACTCTTTTTCTACTCGCTTTTGCGAGTGGAGTTGCTAAACCTTACTGAGGGAGAATTAGCATGCCTTCCCGGGACTCAATTATTCCATCATATTATGCTATGGTATTTTTTGCCACTTTGGAACCACTAATTAATCAATACACAATGTGTCTAGTTTTGGCCTACTCGCTCTTTTCTATTTCTGTAGCCATACCGTGGCGCTAACATATTTTTCTTTAACCATTACATTCATGGTAACAATATAGAAACTTAAATGTAAACTTCCCATGACAATTTATGTTTTATTTTATGTTTTTCATGGTAGTAGCTTT